AATTGATTAGTTTTAAAATAGGCACTTGAAAGATTCGCTAAAAATGAGCATATATGATGAAAAGTCGCCAGAAGCTCTGTAGCGGTATTGACGGCCTAAATCAACTCGTACATTTTTTTTTTCTTTACAAATGTCTAAGCAAACGAAAAGCAAACAAGAGAAACAACACGAAAAACTGATTTTATAACAAGAACAAACAGTATTTATATTTATGTATGTCAATGATATACAAGCATAATTAATAGGAGTTACTTCCCTTTGACTGGAATTAAACTCTTTATTAAGGAAATATTTTTGAGCTCATAGAAAGTTCAATGAACTTGCCGCTCAAAATGTTCACTGTGAGAGAGAGTTGAAAGAATTCTGTAAGGCTGAGAATCATACTTATTATAAAACCCAGGTTGTGTGTGTGTCTATACGTTTTTATGTTGGATCGGATTTCCTACATTTTTCAACCGATTTCAACAAAACTTCAAAGGACTACGTAAAATTACCTTGCGGTGGTTCTGACAGCGCCCAAAATTGGAAAAACAATTGTTTTTGCACGAAATCAATTTGAAAACGCGATTAAGAGTCATCGCCAGAATGAAAGGGAGACAACTCATATCGAGTTATACTGATTATAAAACCCAGGTTGTGTGTGTGTGTGTGTGTGTGTGTGTGTGTGTGTGTGTGTGTGTGTGTGTGTGTGTTTATATATGGGATCGGATTTCCTACATTTTTCAACCGATTTCAACAAAACTTCAATTTTTTTTGACAGGTAGTGTTTCTTATTGTCTTGCACACTTTTTTCTTTGATTTTAACATTCAGAATGCTTTAAAATTTCCATTTACAAGACAATTGTTTATAATAAAATTCTATTCAATCGGTAGACTCATAACGATTGAAAACAATGTTTTTGTTTGAGTTGGGGTTTGACCAATTCGTAAAAAAAAAAAAAAAAAAAAAAAACTAATTAAGAGATGCGTGTTCGTCAACCTTAAACAATAATCTTTGTCAATTTTATTTTTCAGTCTTTATGATGGTCGATACTTGATCTATCTCTTACTTTTATATCCCCGGGCAACGCCGGGCTCTACTGCTAGTATGTTGATAAACTTTTAGCTTTAGAAGAGTTGAAGGAGTGAATGTTCCGTAATGTTTGTAATTAAGTTTCTGTTACTGGTAATATTCTGTTATGTTCAAGTTTCTGTTGCTTGTAGTGTTCTGTAATGTTCCGTACGTACGTGTATGTGTATGTGTGCGTGTGTCACAGCGTTTGCCCGTAAAGGACGAAACGTGAGTTCTTTAGTTACTACATCTTGTATTTCAGAGAAGGCAAGGGAGGCCAAAAAAAGAAAGAACGATCTTGTGTCAAAGTATTTAAAAAATTATAATAAACGTAGTCACGTGATAAGCTCAGAAAAGCATGGACGGATTTTGGGCCTGAATTGTATTTTCGTCAGGTCAGGAACTAGGTCGATGTTATTCGGACGTAGGCGAGAACATGATTTAGATATTAACTGACTAATGAGAAGTGAGAAAAATATCAAGGCTCTGTGATCCACTTTTTGCACAGATTTTGGCTTTGACAGAATGTGGTAGCAGGATGCTGTAGCTTTATAGAAGCAAAGTTTTATCTTCAAAATCTATGTATTATTATTAAGAGGAAAAACCAAAGGATTTTGTAAAAATTATTTTTTTAAATCCTTTCAAAACTTTGGTTAAACAATTTGTTTTTCTGCCATCAAAGGGGAACCTGTAGCGGACCGTGAAGGTGGTATGTAAAACACACGTGGGTAGAATTTCCTGCTAGCCGGTCCAACTACATGAGAAAGTTGGACTTTTTAGGTTCAAAGAAAACAAACAAGACCGATAAATATATGTAAACAAATATATGTATTAACAACAAGTACAAGTTACATTGAGTGGACAGTTACATGGACAGAGTGTGTGTGGTGAATATTATGTGTGTGTGTGTTGTGGTGACTGGTCGTACGTACGTATATTGTTCTTAGCGTGTTCCCAGAATTTGGGAAACGCTGTATCTGTGAGAGCTCACATCTGCGAGGTGGTATAAGGCAGAAGCCTGAAAAAAAAAAAAAAAAAGAGATCGAGGCGGAGGGTCAGCCAGTATTTATAGCCAGGGGAGAGAGAGACCCCTGGTGAAGGGTTAAGGAGCTGAGGAGGAGCTAACTCCGACAAACCTTAATTTTTTGTGGTGAAAAAAAACGCATTTATTTAGGAATTCTTGCTAATCAGATAATTATCGGATTTTAATGAAACTTTCAAGACTTAGTCATAAATGAATTAAATTATTTTTTTAAATATTCTTTTTTTAAAAAAATCCTGTTAATTTTTTTACATCTGTTATCTCCAGACACACACACACGTACACTCACTTATTTCATTTTAGGAAATTTCGATAAATTCCGTTTTTGTTTTTTTTTTTGTAGTGCTTAATGTTTATATTATCATAGTTATAAGTACTTCGGAAAAATTAAATCATCCTTTTTTTCAAATAGTACTCCCAGCTAGAGAAAATCTACTCTGATGGAATAAAACTAAAACATTTTATAATTAGAAAAACTTTCAATTGTTTTTATGAATAACATATATTATGCACACTATTGTCTTATGAAGAAAATATTTCGATGAATAATGAATTTTTTTTTTTTTTTGTCATTAGAATAATTTATAATCTGTTAATTTTTTTGAATTTTATATTGATTTGTCGGGATCAGGTAATATTGATATTAAATACAGTATAACCCGGATATAAAAGAGTTGTCGGGACCGGAGAATAAGTCTCTTATATCCGGGTTTCTCTTATATCCGGGTTTGGTCTAATTTATATACATTAACACAGGCTCTAATTTGGGACCAGATAAAATCTCTCTTATATCCGGGTTACACTGTAAAAAAACCGTATTTACTAATCGCAAATGGAAAATCTTACTACAATTCAGTGACTCCCAGTATTTTAAAAAGAATGTTGAATGTCTGTGTGTGTGTGTGTGTTTGTGTGTGTGTGTCTGTGTATATCTTACTTATTATAAAACGCAGATTGTGTGTGTGTGTGTGTGTGTGTGTCTGTACGTTTATATATTGGATTGGATTTCCTACATTTTTCAACCGATTTCAAGAAAACTTCACAGGACTACGTAAAATTACCTTGCGATGGTTCTAACAGCGCCAAAAATTGGAAAAACACAATTGTTTTTGCATGAAATCAATTTGAAAACACAATAAAACGCGATTCTGTCAATAGAATGAAAGGGGGACAACTCATATCGAGTTATACTTATAAAACCCAGGTTGTGTGTGTGTGTGTGTGTGTGTGTGTGTGTGTGTGTGTGTGTTCATTTATATATGGGATCGGATTTCCTACATTTTCAACTGATTTCAACAAAACTTCACTTTTTTTTGGCAGGTAGTGTTTCTTATTGTCTTGCACACTTTTTTTTTTTCTTTATTTTTACATTCAGAATGCTTTAAAAATTCCATTTACAAGACAATTGTTTATAATAAAATTCTATTCAATCGGTAGACTCATAACGATGGAAAACAATGTTTTTGTTTGAGTTTAACCAATTCGTAAAAAAAAAAAAAAAAAAAAAAAACTAATTAAGACATGCGTGTCCATCAACCTTAAACAATAATCTTTGTCAATTTTATTTTTCAGTCTTTATGATGGTCGATACTTGATCTATCTCTTACTGTTACATCCCCGGGCAACGCCGGGCTCTACTGCTAGTATATATATAAACGTGTCGATGTTTGTAAATAAAGACGTCCATACACGACATTGTTAGAAAATAAGAAAGCCAACCATATAATGCATTTCAAATTTATTGGCAATTTTCTAACATTTCCTAAATAAGCCTAGGACTATTAAACCAGGGTACCTAAAACATATTAGAATGCTTAAAATATTTTTAAATTTTAAAGATGACTGAGTAGTTAAAAAAAAATATTACAAAAAGGCGTTTACGTTGTATTCATGTAATTTTCATAAAAATTATATTGCCCCCTTAGATAAATTTCCCAAACATTAGGTTGTCGATAAATGAAACAACACCCCATACAAAAAAAAAAACATTTCCATGTTAAAATGCTTTTCTGCGATAAACTGTAAAGTAATAGTAATATTTGTTTCAATTCAGATTAATTAAACTTTAAATCGACTTCTTTTTTTTTCTCAAATAGCTATTCAGAAAAATACATTTTATTTTTAAGTATTTTTAATAAAAGAATAATGTTGTGTTGATAGATGTGTCAATATGGACGATTTTATCAAAAATAAAATTAATTCCAGTCATTGTAAATTCGGTTTGAAATACACCTAAGTATTTTGCTTACTGGAAATATTAATTAAATTTATTCTATTAACTTGGAATTAAAACTAAAATAAAATCTTCAAGAAAGATTTTTGATTTTTAAAATGCATTTTAAACCTTCTGTATTGCTTTTTTGTGGTACTTATTTTAAAATATCTCAAACCATAGCAGTTTAAATTAAATTATTTTATCTAAAAAATAATAATTAGTTTATTCAATCAATTACATTAAAATAAAAGTTCTGGGTCTTTTACAAGGTTATGTAAAATTTTCATTTGCACCGGCTTTTAGTATAACCAGAGTGCTCTCCCTTAGTTTTACTGTTTATTGCATTTAGCGCACATGGTCAGTTGGTTTAAAAAGACGACGAGGGAGACATTATTATTGGCTTTGTCGATCTAATTGCCATCATGTACAAGAACTTTGTCACATTTTCCAGACTTTGTGAATGCCCTCAAAGTTTAGTTCGGGTGCTTGCCTCCCCTATTCCATGTTTACCGAAGTTAAATCCTGTTTCGCAGGGATTTCATTCCACCTGCTCTTCGAATTCTTCCCGTGGAAACACTGCCGGGAAAAATCTCGTTGCGAATCATTTAACTTCCAAAATTGACAACAGTAAGAAGAAGAAGAATGGCAACCACTTTTACTGTCAAACCCGGCGTCAACATGTTTATTTTCCAATGCAAAGACCAAATTGGGGCGCTTCCCTTTTGTCACCTGCTGACTCGCATCGTTGTTATTCTTCAACTTCTGTTCCAGAAGTCATCGAAGGGACAAGACAAATTCAATTCTGGGGACATGAGACGGTAAGCTGTATCTTTCTTTAACTACTCGCCCCCCACTACACAGTTTGTTATCTATCTATCTATCTATCTATGTTTTTTTTTTTGTGTGTGTGGAGGGGGGAGTATTCACTCTTCTTAAATGATGTTTCTCTAAATATCCGATGATTTAATTTTTTTTTTTTTTAAATATCCGAGGATTAAAAAAAAATGTGCTTTTTGTCTAGATGATAAAAATATCACTTTTTCATCCCCAAAATAACATGGTATTCGCAATTCGGATTAATGTTTTTCAATTTTTTCCCTTTTTTTTTTTTTTTTAGTTCGTTCGTTTTTTCGTTTTCTCTCTCTCTTTTCTCTTTCCCTCTCTCTGTTCAGAGAATCAGCAGGTATAACATGAGATGAAGCATTTTTTACTTAATTTGTGGGTCAAGCACTTTTAATTTTTTTTTTTTTTTTTTTTTTTTTAAATTACAATTTGTTTATGCTATATTTATTTTAAAACAATGATTTGTCCTTGTTCTAATCCAGTAAATTAAATACTTTTTTTTTTTTTTTTTTTTTTTTTTACTTGAGTAATAGAAACTTTTTTTTTTTTTTTTTTTTTCAAGTGCTTGTTTTCTGCAATAACTGAAGAATTACTTGAAAAAAAAAATCCAAACAGTAAAAACAAAGTATTGTTTGTTCCTTCACATCGGTGTCCTTTATTCAAAACAAAAATTCAACACAGGGAATTGTTGTTTTTTTTTTTTTTTTTTTTTTTTTTCCACTCATGACACTTTCTATTACTTTAACCTTTTATTCAGGCTTTTATTGTTCTACTTAGTCCACAAGTGCGTGGGTACATTTTTTTTTTTTTTTTTTTTTGAAATATTATCTTACAAAAAAAAAAAATCCTCAAAATATCTATTTGCTTTACATTGGACCTACTTCGCTCCATTTTTCAGTCTTTTGAGTCCTGGAAGTTAAAAACAATTATCTCACATAAAAACAAAGATTTTTTTTTTTTTTTTTTTTTTTTTAAACAATCTGTTGTTAATGAATGATTGTATATACACACACATATTGAAACAAGTTTTGTTAACTTCAACTGACAAGGACTGTAGGTTCACTTTTGAACACCCAATTTTCGAATAAGATATTGTACATTGGGATGAAAATTGTGCGTAAACTGTTAGTTAGCATTTTAAAGTTAAACTAAAAGTTTTCTAGTTCTCAGTTTATCCACAATTTTCATAAGACATTATCTATGTACTTGTAATTAATTCGAAACCTGTGGAGATGTGACAAAGTGGGAAAAGCTAGGGTTTCTCAACCTTTTCTTCCTTATGGCCAATTTTTTTAGTGTTAAAATTAAAAATAAATTTAAAAAATTCTGGCCCAAATAAGCACAAATGGGAAATATTTACAAAAGCAAAATAACGTAAAGCAGTTTGTGTTTTTTATAATTTTACACGACTAGAAAAAAAAACAATTTCAAAGTTCACCAATTTTCCTTGGACCAACTCCAGGCCCATTTTAATAATTTCTCCGGTTCACTTGTGAGAATCCCTGCTATAAATGGCGCATTTCATTGAGGCCTGTTTGTCTCTGTTGAGCCAAGATGTCAGTAAAACCTGTCATTTATAGATTTCCACTTTGTTGTGTGAAAGTTTCTTAGCCCAAATTGAAATTGTGTTCTTTGGAGGAAGCCTTCTTGGTTATGCAAAAGCATAGGACTCCTCCTTTTTTGTGTGTGTACACACACACACACACATATATATATATATATATATATATATATATATATATATATATATATATAGCAACATTTCTTTTAAATACATTTCATTAAATATGGCAGACAAGAAAGTGTTAATTAATTTTTTTTAGTTTTTCCATTATTATATTATACATTGAAAATATCAGAATTGAGCTGATAGCTACCCATTTATTGTTTTATCTTTGTGTGCATGTATATAGAATAACTGTATTTTTATTCTTATTCTTTGTGATTTAATGCGTACAAAAGCTCAAAGGTGAAAACTTTTTTCCATATAAAGAAGTCTGCTTACACAGGCTCCATCTCATGTTACATTGATTGTGACACTCTAACCCCCTTAATAATAGCAGTTTTGTTCTCACATGGTTCTGCTCAGGTCATAGGTCAACATGCACACACATACTCAGTCAAAGATATTTTAGAAGATTTTAAATTTTTTTTAGTTGTACATGTATTTTTTTTTTTTTTTTTTTTTTTTTTTTTTTTTTTTTTTTAATTTTGTGTAATTTCCATCACGTAACTTCCCTGTGCTGTTTCTATCAATATTTTCATGCTAATTATTCGGGTATTATTTCCTCTTTGCTACCTCAACAACATCTTAGTTGGGTGACAAGGTCTTATCATTTTACAGCTGTAATGGCTAGATGTAAACGTAAGTTCTATGCTAACTGTTTCTTCTCTTGCACTTCTCACTTGTGGAACTCTCTTCCAGCTTAATTTTTTACAGTCAACATTTATAAAGTAATTGGGTATGGTTAAATCTCTATAAATAGGTAAAGTTTCTAATAAACTATAAAAAGGGAAAGAAGGAAACAGGACAAGATAATACTAAGCAAGCACACACACACACACATATATATATATATATGTTTCATTAAAAACAACTGGCAGTTTTTTTTATTTAATTTTTCTTGTGCTCTTAGAATTTTCTTTTCTGGACATGAATTATGAAGGAAGTGTCCAAATGTTATGTATATCTGAACGCTTTTGGATATACTACTGGCCATTATCAAGGATATATACATGTGTTTTTTTTTTTTTTTTTTTTTTTTGTTTCCTGCTTTGTACTCTGTAGAACCAGAGTCTCTATAGGAGAAATGTCATGTATATGATAGTACTTTTCTTAATATATATGGGATGTTCCTAGTATGGCGATCTTCTGAGCAATTTGTATGTTGATGTTATCTGAGATACAGTAAAATTGTTCATTCTTTTTCTCACAAGTCCCAGAGTTTCGATTACTATTGGTACAGTCTGTCTTCATTCCCAACATCCTGTTAATCTCGATCTCCAGGTCGTCGTATTTGGACAATTTCGATAATTTTTATATGGCATTTCTCTTAGATGGTACTGTTATGTCAATAAGCATACACTTTCTGAATTTCTTGTCATTTATGATAATATCAGGTCTGTTGGTTTGCCTGTCAGTTAGAATTGGCATGTCCTAGAGGATAGTTACACTGTTATTTTGTTAACTGTGTCTACTTGGTACTCTACCATCTCTATGGTTTTGATTTTTGTGCTTCTTGCATATCATCCAGTGCACATATGTCGCTACCTTGTTATGTCTGTGGGTATATAAATTTTTTTGCTAGTTTTGGACATCCTGAGAAGATATGGTTGAAAGTTTCATTGTATTTTCTGCAGATCCTTCATTTCCGGGTTAGTTCCATATTTGATTATGTGGCAGTGATATTGTTTATATATATATATATATATATATATATATATATATATATATATATATATAATCTCTCCCTGTACCAATTCCTCACTTCACACGGACACGGCCCAACTGAAATGCTCAGCCATCAACCTTGATGGCATCCAAACCATTTTTAACCACTCGCATAAGTGGAATGCTTCCCTACGCATTTCCCCGATAACCCTGATAAGCACATTTCTCTTTCAAATCGCTTTTCTTTCTTTTCTTTTCTTTATACCTCGATCCCTGAATCATTTTGTCATACTATGCAGCTCTGGCCTCTTGGGTGTCTCTGTAAACGTCTCCCATTCCACTCCTCCACCAGACAAGAACCTCCTACCAACAGAATATCCTTCTGGTACCAATGTGCAGATTGGGACTCGTTCTATGATTTTCTTTGTGGCGTCTCATGGATAAAAGTTTTTAAACAACCCGTTCAAAAATGTGCATTTGAGTTCTCCTCCTGGGTGAAATTTAGCATTTGATGCTTTTATTCCAGCAAGGAAATACCACATTACACCTTATTCATCTCCTTGTTTCTCACCTGCATGATTGGCCACTATTCTTCCAGCTGTACCAGAGAGACATGTCAGATTATAACGGACATCTCTTTGTTTCTACTCATAAGTGCAAGCATGTCCTCAAGGAAGTGAAATTACTGTTTGCTAATGAAATGAAACAACACAAGTTCAGTTCCAGAGATTATTGGCAGCGCTGCAAGAGTGTGCTGAACAACAGCAAATCCTCAATTCCACCCCTATTTAATCAATTTAAAGTCCTAACATTTACTGTGTTACAAGGATGCATTTCTATAGTAAGAGATTCTACCAAGTCCTACTTGTTAATACAAAAAAGTTTTCATTCATGAAGTAGTTGTAAAATAGAGAAATTAGAAATTGAATGTTTGGAAGATTCTAGATCATTCTAGTATATTTGAGAAAAATCTAGAAATATGCTAATTAGGTGCTAGCCCCTATAAAAATAGGTTTTTGGAAAAGGGTTTTCAACAACAGACGACACTTTTCCAAAAACCTATTTTTATAGGGGCTAGCACCTAATTAGCATATTTCTAGATATTTCTCAAATCATCTAGATTTTTCTCGAATATACTAGAATGATCTAGAATCTTCCAGACATTCTATTTCTAATTTCTCTATTTTACAACTACTTCATGAATGAAAACTTTTTTTGCATTAACAAGTAGGACTCAGTAGAATCCCTTACTATAGAAATGCATTCTCATAACTGCAGGTAAGGTGGAATGCTTTGCTTGTAAATTCTCTTCCAACTTGAATCATCTGGACTACCCACACCTGATTTCTCGACCTAGAACTGAGGCTGTGCTGTGTGATATGCGCATAACCCTGTCACTGGTCTTGGACATCATTTCTAAATTAAGGTAAGTGGAAGTGATAGGATAACAGCAGTCATCCTAAAGATATGTGTTCCTGAACTGGCTTCATTTTGCTCCAAACTTTACAACTATTGCTTCCTGCTTTCCAGCTTGTTGGAAGTCCTCCTTTGTTGTTCCTTTTTTTTTTTTTTTTTTTTTTTTTT